TCGGTCATGGGGCTTGAACTCTGGGCTTGGGCGCTGTCCTTGTGCTCTTCAGCTCAAGGCGAGCACTCTACCACTTGAGCCACAGCACACTTCCGGTTTTCTAGTGGTTTATTGGAGATAAGAGTCTCACGAACTTTCCTGCCTGGGCTGGCTTTGAACTGCGATCCTCAGATCTCAGCCTCCTGAGTAGCTAGGATTACAGGCGTGAGCCACCAGCACCCTGCTCAAAGTACCATTTCTTAAAGGAATACAACTGAGTTATTGTATCTAGTGTACATGAACTGTTTTCCATGTACAGAGGTTTTATCCATCTTGAATCAATTGCGCTTTATTCTCAGTATATTTTTTTTCTGTTTCCTGCCACTGAATTACAGCTATTGAGTCTCATTAACTACTGTTATGAGAAACCATTAAATTACTGGCAGTATGAGAAGAATCTATAGTAAATCATACTTGCTAGCTTAAAATTGAGCAGCCAATTACAAAACTCTGATAGACTTGCTTCATATTTCTCAGCTTAATAAAACTCTTAATCCAGAATACTGTAACTGTAAGCATATTTAATAGTAAGAAAGATTAAAATCCAGTTGTAATCCTGTAAGATACCTACCTTAAAAAAACTCATAGCACTGACACACACTAGTATAGAGATTTAAAAAATAGATATGCCAAGCAGGGTGCTTACATCTATCTAACTACTCAGGAGGCTAAGCTGAGGATTGCAGTTCAAAGTCAGCCAGGGCAATAAAGTCCATGAGACTCTTATCTCCAATTAACCACAGAAAACTAGAAGAGGAGCTGTGACTCGACGTAACAGAGCACTAACATTGAGGGGAAAAGCTCAGGGACAGTATCCAGGCCCTGAGTTCAATCCCTATGACCTACCAAAAAAAAAAAAAAAAACTGGATAAGCTAATTAAATGCCAACAAGTAAAAATATTACTGAGAAAACATCACAAAATGGAGAATGCAAAAAAAATTAGATAGAGGAATCATTTATAATATTACAAAAACATTCCAATGAGATGACTTTTTTCTTTTTTTTCATTGGTCATGGGGCCTGAACTCTGGGCCTGGGCGCTGTCCCTCAGTTCTTCAGCGCAAGGCTAGCACTCTACTACTTGAGCCAAAGCGCCACTTCCGGCTTTTTCTGCTTATGTGATGCTGAGGAATCCAGGGCCTAATGCATGCAAGGCAAGCACTCTACTACTGAGCCACCTTCGCAGCCCCGAGATGACTTTATATGCACTCAAAATACCTGAAGCAAAAACCTACAGACTTACAAGGGAAAAGTGACAAAACCATTATCATGAAATTTTAATACACCCATCCGTACACATGCACACATACACACGCATATAGGTGTGCCCTTCTGAAAGTATATAATAAATGTTTCATATGTATTTTTAAAAGGATATACATGAAAGTTTAATATGTACCTTAGATCAGGAAGGAAGCCAAGATAATAAAAAAATGTTTTTGAAAGCCTACAGACTATGTTCTCTTACTACAGCAAAATTAAATAAAAAAAAATTAAAAGCAGGGGCTGAGAAGGTGGCTCAGAGGTAGAGCGCTTGCCTTGCATGCCTGAGGGCCTGGGTTAGATTCCTCAGCACCACATAAGCAAAAAGAAAAAAGCC